GACAGTGTGGAGCCTGCTTGGGATTCTCTTTCCCTCTCTCTCTGGCCCTCTCCTGCTTGCAGTGTATACTCTTTCTCTCAAGAATAAATAAATTTAAATAAATAACATACATATTTATATAAAGAAAGCTATCTGAACTGTAAATACAATAGCCATTAGCTACATCTGGCTATTTAAATTGAAATTAATTAAAAATAAATAAAATTTTAAGACTCAGTTCATCAGTCATAATAGCTGTATTTAAAGTGCTCAATAACCACATGGAGCTACAGGCTCCATTGCAGACATAGCACTTTCCATCACACAGAAAGTTCTCTGGGACATTGTTGCTCTTGGGAGAAATCATTTACTAACATCAGATTTTCCATTCCCCATCTCAGCTGCACCTCCACCCCTTCTTTGTTCTTCATTTGCCAAACAGGGTTTTATTTGTTTGTTTGTTTATTTTCATCTCTCTCTCTGCCAGGAAGTAGGAAAACAGCTGTTTTACTCTTGGCTAAACGTGATAAAAAGCTAAATTCCTAGATACACAGCAGGAATTAGTCTCCATTAGCATGTGTCTTCCTTGTTAGATCACTCACCAGGAAAAGGTACATGCATTCAAATGCCTGGAATCACGAGGTGCCTTAATAGTACTCGCTTTGGTGCAGTTACAAATCACTTAGGTTAATCTATTTCTCTTGAGCTTTCTAACTGGATAATTGAATTCAGTCTTTTGCAGCTTTGGCCTGAGTTCTGAGGTTAGATCCAGATGCCTTGCACCCTCCCTGTCCCACTCCTAACCCCACTCCCAAACTAGAATGGTCATATATTCTTGCTCTGCGCTTCAGGAGAACAAGGACCATGGATTATTCATCTTTGAATCTCCAGTGCCTAGCCAGAGTTTGGCATGTGAGAAGCACCCAGTGAATGTTTGTTGAAGAAATTAATCAATTACATAATCATTCAAGATGTCTTCCATTTTCCCATTAGGACTTTCACTAATTATTCCTGTAGAGAGTTCATTCCCCAGCAGAGTGATTCCCAAGTCTGGCTGCAAATTAGAGTTACCCAGGGGTCTCTTAGAACCCACCGATGCCAGGGTCCCACCCCAGACCATTACAATCCAAATCTTTGATGGCGGGGCTCAGACATCATCAGTAGTTTGGTGAAACTCCCCTAAAGGATTACATTGTGCAGCCAGGGGTGAGAACCACACAGGGTTCTGAATTGGCAGCCATAACTATATGTGCATCCTTTTTGACGTGTTCACCCACGTCCCGTCTCATCCACTGTCATGGTTGCTGTAAGATTAACATGAATCTGGTCTTAATAGTTACTTTACTCAGTTATGGGACAACAGCGTCCCCGCTGCTCCCAACAGGGACTCTGGGAAGATAGACTCCCGATGGAGGCTTTATTTCAGTGTCTTCATGAAGATTCAGGCTAAAACTGTCTTAAAACAACACAAGAGAGCCTCTTCACTCCTCACTGTAAGTGTATGTTGTCAGTAAATGTGATGTTGTATTGAGCTTGAAAGGCAAAATACAAAGCTTCATGCATGCCATGATCATAAGTGTGAAAAATGTTATCTACGAGGGGGAAAAAGACTTGAAGATGAATGAATGAAAACTCTCATAGTAATTGTGGGTAAGCCAGGCTGGGGGTTGGGGAACGAGGGAATGGACTCCGGCCCTGAGACTCAACAGGAAGGAAGTGCTCTGGGGGAAGGGTCTCGCCACCAGCTGGACGCAAGGCACTGGGTGTCCCTGAGGCTTGCCCCAGATGGGAGGAAAGGGGTCCAAGGAATGACTGAGCCAGGATCACAACGGGAGGGTGCTTGTGGTGACAAGGACAGGGGGATTATCAGGCAAAACTGGCCAGAAAGGAGATGCAAGGAAGAAGACAGGATTAAGAATGGACTGAGGGCGGGGCACCTGGGTAGCTCAGTCGGTTGAGCATCCGGCTTCCTCTCAGGTCATGATCTCACGGTTTGTGGGTTCAAGCCCCACATTGAGCTCTGTGCTGACAGCTAGCTCAGAGCCTGGAGCCTGCTTCAGATTCTGTATCTCCCTCTCTCTCTGACCCTCCCCTGCTCATGCTGTCTCTCTCAGTGTCTCAGAAATAAATAAAACAGTAAAAAAAAAAAAAAAAAAAATTAAAAGAATGGACTGAGGGGTTTAGGACGAGGGTCAGGAAGTGTGGGCCATCCTTTTACATGGGATCTGGTCTGTGCTCTCAGACAGGGGTACTTTCTAAAGAGGGGCCTCCCGTAACATTTTTTCTTCTTCCTCTTTCATTTGCCAAGTGTCATATAATCGTAGTTTCCTAACATTAAAAAAAAAGTGTGCCTCTGCATTCCAATGACACAGGGTGAGAAGATTCTAGTAAGCGCTACTATTTATTGAACATCTACTATGTGCCAAGCACCAAACGAGACCTCACACACACATCTCAAGTAATCCCCTCAATAAACCTGAGGCAATGTTAGCATTATCATCTGCAGTTTAAAGATTGGAAAACTGAGGCCGACTCACTTGTCCAGGGTCACACAGCCCACGTGTAGCATGTCCAGGGTTCAGTCCACATCTGCATGACTCCTGAGAGATGCCTTTGCTCACACACCCAGACGAAGCTTCTTCTGAATGGATGGAAACGACCTCCTCATACCACGGCCCCACACCTCACCAAAGGCCACCTCTTTTGTCACCAGGAAAGTGACGGACTCACACCAGTGCTGGTTATCCTCACACATTTTCATTATATGGTGGGGGTTTTATGAGCGTCTACCACAGGCTGTTTTTCAAATTTATTTAATTCATCCATCATGCTCTGAAGCCATTTGCTTTTTTATATTGGACAGATGTAATGAGATTTTGGACACTAAAAAATGTTTTTATTAAAAGTTATGACCCAGAGCTAGTTGGTAAGGGCTGTGCCATAAATCCCTAGAAGAGTGTGAATTTATAAAGGATGTAGCGACGTAACCTTAACCTTTTTAGGCCACACCATAGATTATAGGATCACGTAGGCTAATACTGTCTCACTACCTCTCTCCACCTCTGGCCAAATAGAATCATCATCATCATAATTTATGTGGTTATCTGATGTGGTTGCCCTTCGTCTCGTCTTGCCACAGTTGACCTCTGGCAAGCCAGGGCCTAATGGAAGCAGGTGATTGAGGACAGAATTGGTGGTGGCTACAGTAGGCACGGCCACCTTGGGTCTCCTGCTCCGCTGCTGTGTAACTGGGGCTGCCTGGCGTTACAGTCACCTTTTCTGCAGACAGGATGGAGGTGATTATGGGAGCTGGTCTCTCCACTCCTTCATTGCCAACAGGCAGTTTCCCTCAAAAGTGGGAAATGATGCAGCTCTTTCTGTTCGTGCATAATAACTCCATTTCAGTGTTAATATTGTCAGGTTTCTATTAATACTACACTACTTGTATATCATCCAGAACGTAATTAGCTTATACATATTGACCAAAATATGATTAAAAACATAAAATAATAGATGTTATATATATTATCTATAATACATATTATCACTGCGACTTTGGTGTGCAGAGCACCAAGGTATCAGATGGTGAGAGGGCAACAAAAGATGAAAACAAACTGTACCAGAGAAGTTTAGTACTCACAGGTCCTGGAGGAGGTACATAGCACACCTCAGGAGGTCACTTGGGAAAGGTCAAGCAAGGCAGGGGGCAGGTAGAGAAAACAGGGCAGGACCGAAGATGCATGCCTTTATTAGGACCCACACGGAAGTGCTTTGGGCTCCCTGGACTAAGGTCAGATTGGTCCATTCACACCACAAAGGACGGGGTTTTGGTAAGCTCCACAGAGACCTTAGCTAAGGGGTTCACGGGGGGAAGGCTCTGGGAAGCCAGGGAGGCTGCCAACCACAAGGCCACTGGGGGGAGTCATTCCAGGGACTTAACAGTTACTTGTGACTCTGCAGCCCTGCCCCATAGCCTCATGGGAGGGGCTCGTGTCCACTGCAGTTACTTGAGCCACATAAATGAGTGCCTTTGCAGCAGTCTGGAGTGGTTTAGTGAAATTCTCAGTAATCGCAAAGAATAAAATGAGAACATTAACAAAACGATTAGATTTGGTCACTGGCCAGCTACTTAGGAAACATGCCTAAGTTACGCTTAGGGGCACCTGGGTGGCTCAGTCGGTTAAGTGTCCGACTTCAGCTCAGGTCATAATCTCGCAGTTCATGGGTTCAAACCCTGCATCGGGTTCTGTGCTGACAGCTCAGAGCCTGGAGCCTGTTTCAGATTCTGTCTCCTTCTCTCTCTCTCTCTCTCTCTCTGCCCTTCACCTGCTTGTGCTCTGTCTCTCTCTCTGTCTCAAAAATAAATAAACATTTTTTTAAATGCCTTCATTCTTATATTCTTGAGCGTGGCTATGTGCCAGTTCCTCTGTGAGCAGCCAGGATCAGGAATAAATACAGCTCAGTCCTTGCTCCAGGAAGCACAGTTGATGTCCCATTCCTCTGATGATTTTCAGCTCAGAGGATCAAGGAAAGCTTCATGGAAGAGGTGGCCTTCCAGCTGGACTTGAGGAACTTGGTTCCTAGAGCTTGCAAAGATTAGAAGAGAATTTCAAGCAGACGGGACAACATGCAGTAGGGCACTTACAAAACCAGCTGGTCACAGACTGCTCCAAAGAGTTATGAGTTTGGCTAAAGCACATGGTAGTTTTTTTAATTTGTAAAACCCAAGTCTTGAGTGTAAACATCATGCTCTTATCTGCTGCCCCCATGGAGGCCGACTGGCTAATGTCTGTAATTGCAGGAAGATAGGCTTTAAACCTACGAACTTACCCTTGTATTTCCTAATCAGGCCCGTGGTTTATCATCTGCTTCTGCTGGGAACATACCCGAGGGCTTCCCTAGTACAGTGGCAACGGCTGCCGCCTAGGGTGACCTTCCATGCCGTCATCCTTACATTCATAAACCCGTGCCATCTGTGTGTCATGCTCTTCATCCTCACTCATCATCCCTTACGCTTTCAGAACGGCCATCCATTTGAGGATTTTGAAGAACGGTTTGCTGCGGCCACCCCGGTAAGGATGAGAGGGCCCTGCCTGGTTAACTAACCATTTCACATCATCATCCCATTGTTCATCTCATGCTCATAAGTCATGCCTTGTGGTTACAGAACAGAAACCTGCCGATGGACTTTGATGAGATTTTAGAGGCAACAAAGGTAAGGCCTCCGGGCTCTTGTTAAAGGACAGTCGTCCTGGTCATTCTCATACTTTCCGCACTCTCATCCAGCCTCCATCAGTGGCACTGCCAGCTCTACCCCGGTGGGGTCTAGTCTGCTGTTCACAGGCAGATTATTGGTGAGCCCCGTGATGAGGTCAGATAGCATGTGTCTATTTATACGTGTGTGTGTGTGTGTGTGTGTGTGTGTGTGTTGAGATTGTGTGTCGGAGAGGAACCAACACCTTCTTGTTTTTATTCAACAAATACTTTTCAAGCTCCCAGCATGTCCCAGGAACTCTGATAGATGCTAGAGGTTCAGTAGAGCAAGAGGCCACGGACTCTGTCCTCAAGTTGCTCACGCTGTTAACAGTGCGATGTGGCCCAGCATGGGAAAGATGGGGCAGGTTAGCCTCGTCCGCTGGAGTCCACCAGGGGGGCCAGGCACGTAAACAGGATGTGCAAGGTCACCCCCGTGGATCGAAGCGAGGCGAGGCTCTGATTCACTTGGTATACCCTGGACTGGAGGCACTGGTTTGCTGCCGATGTTTGTTCAGATTAGTTGATACACAGGCCAGTGACTGTTACCCTCTCTGAGAATAGGGTGTTTGGGAGGTCTGTAGGACAGGGCTCCTCAACCTTGGCTGTCAATTAGAATCACCAGGAGAGCTTTTCAAGTCCCAGTTACGAGGCTCTTCTTCAACGAATCCAGAATCTCTAGGAGCCGGCCATCAGTATTTTCCCCAGGTGCATCTGAGGTTGAGAACCCCTGACCTAAGAGTCTCGTAGAAGCTGTTCTGGATGGTGGGATGGGGTGCAAGTTGAGTTAGGAAGCACTTCCCAGAAGAAGAAGAATCCTCTAATTTGCGTCCTGAAGGACAGATGAGAAAAGCAATTGGGGAAGCAGTGAATGTTCTCGGAAAAAGGAAGAGCATGTGCAAAGGGCCTGAGGTGGTCCCTCCTTTTGTGACCCTGTGTCTGCCTTCTCTGTCACATTGCCCTGATTTTGTCTATAGGTTCATGTTTGCATAAAACCACCAGCCCATGAGAGTAGGGACAGGAGCAGGCCCGTATGCACTGCTCTCGGTACAGCAGCTGATGAACAGTAGGGGCTCCATACTTTTCCTACATGAAGGAGCTCCTGATGCCAAAACATAAGGAGTGTGTCTGTGAGAATGTGTTTTGGGGGTCAGCCAAGGACATCTCAGCCTTCATCAATGGCGCTTTCAGAATCTCTGTGCAGGAGAGGCCTAGGAGTCTGCTTGCAGCCGTCTAGTTGAAAGAGGGACCAGGGGACTCATCTTGAAACAGCAGTGGCACAGCACTCTAAATACTGTTTGGAAACCATAGCTTGTTTGTTTCAAAGAATGGCTGTGGAGTAGCTGGCTGACGGGAGATATCGAGGGGCTTCCTCAATAACTGAGTTATCCTTATCCCCTTCACTGGGCTTGGCATCTTCCAGTATCACTCTGCTTACCGTGGAAAATATCCGGGACCTAAAGAAGGCAGGATCTGCCATCGCCAGCCTCATCTCTACCTGAAGATGTCTAAAGTGCTGGTAATGGGAAGGGGAATAGCATCTTGAGCTGGCCTTCCAGTTGAGCCCTTGAGGTGGATGTCCATCATGGCAGACCTCTTAGGAACCCTGGCTTCTTGTTAGAGAATATAATGGCCACACTCCCATCATCTAGGAATGCTAACCGGGGCTTGTGAAGTGACAGACAAACGAGGTATTACGTGGCCTGTGGGTCAAGCCCAGCTTCTTTTAACTTCTAGATCATACGTGAGTCATGTCACCACTTGGTCTCCGCTCACGTGTAAAGTGCAACATCACAGGGGTTCAGTGAGCATCAAACATGATGATGATGTATTGGAAAATGTATTATAAACAGTAAAATGTTTTACAAATATGAATGGTTAGTTTTAATTCTCTTGAGGTCATAAAATGATTAATTACAACAATATTATCGGATGGAACATGGTTTGTTAGGTTATAGATAAAAGTACTAGGGCTGACGTGGTGGGGGCGTGAAAACAGTTATTATTCCAGATTCTCAATCACATATGGCTATTAGAATTATTTTTAATTTTATGGCCATAAGAATCCCCCTTTTCTATAAAATTTAATTAACTCCAGTTTCTATTTAAACAGCAAATCCAATGGAATGAAATAACAATCTGTGTTTTACGCCCCTGCATGTTTTTCTCGTTTAATCCTTGAGTGAAAATCATCTGGTAAGAGGAAAGTCTATATCTCAAGAATGAAGGTTATTTTAAAAGTTGTGCTTAAGGAGAAAATTAGCCAATAAATTATATTTATGATGTTAGTTAAAGTGTGCCACGAGTTCAAACGCATTTGAAATGTAAATTGTGTGACTTAATTATTAACTTCATTTTATTATTTTCCTACCACTGAAAATAGTTGTAGACCATTTTAAAAGCATAGAGTCCCAATTGCAAGGAAGCCCAGAAGCTTCATTTGAATTGATTAAATAGAAGTATTCCTTTTATGAATCTGGGAGGGAATGTAAAGATTGGCATAGTTTCACCAAGCGACGTAAAATAGTGTAAATACGCTAAAGGCTCTTTCCCGAAGACAAGCAAGTATCTAGGATCTAGCCAGGTCTGGTCCCACCACGACCGTACCCCTTTCCTGTCCACTTTGCTGGCCTCTTCCCTGCGCCTCTCCACCCTCACGCTCCATACAAATTGCTCTGCTGCCCACCTGCTCGCACCTCCCAGACCTCTCTCCTTTCTGCTCATATACTTTCACCTGCCTGGATTATTCTTCCTCTTGTCTGTCCGACTGATGGCTCTTCTTCAGCATTCAGATGGGGTCTGTTCCCTTTAGAAAACCCTCCTTATGCTTCTTTGCCAAAATCTAGCTGATCTCCCGCAGAGACCTCTGTCGCCGTCCCTGCCATGTTGCCTTGAAATTTTCTCTGGATCATCCACCAGACTGCAAGCTGCCTGCAGCCTGGGACTTGGCACTTCTCATTATTCTGTTCACAGCTCCCAGCACCCAACAGGTGTTCAGGGTGTATGAACAAAGCATTGCGTAGTTGGGAAGGAGATGAGTGCGTGTGTAGGGCCCTACTGTGTGCCCAGTACCATCATTCTGTCTGAAAGCTTAAAGGGGGGAATTGAAAGTACATTAACCAACCTAAGCTGCTTGCAGCAAAAAGACCATTTTGTAACTTTTTTTTAATCTTTATTTTTGAGAGAGAGAGAGCGTGCGCGCATGAGTGGGAGAGGAACAGAAAGAGAGGGAGACAAAGAATCTGAAGCAGGCTCCAGGCTCTGAGCTGTCAGCACAGAGCCCAACACGGGGCTCAAACCCACAAACTGCAAGACCATGACCCAAGCTGAAGTCTGATGGGATGCTTAACTGACTGAGCCACCCAGGTGCCCCCAATGTACCTTTTTAACCAGGCTTAGACAGACTTCAAAGATAAAGTCTTGCGAATAGTGTTGTCAATAAATCTGCAAAGGATATACTATCATCTCCACCATCCAGAGGAGGGTACTATAGCTCTGTGGCATTGCAGAAGTTGGAAGTGAATACGTCCCCAGATATTGCACCTTTCCCAGAGCTCACTTACTTGTCAGTAGGAAAGAATAATCTGGTTTTGTTTTTGTTTTTTTTTACTAAGTGTAGAAATCTAGCCATGCCTGGTTACAGAAGAATTCAAGTCCCAGTTTCCTGCAGGCAGGCAGGCAGGCAGGCACTGTCTTCTTGTCCTTTCTGTTGAGTGATATTCTTAGGTCCCCGAATCACTAACTGTCACTTAAAATCCAGAGATGAGCCAAAAGAGTTTTTTCCTCAGTGGGCAGGTTCTGCACAAAGCATATGATTATATACTTTAAGCCAGGCCTTTTGGTTCCTGGTTCTCTACGGCCTCTGAAGCTGGAAATGTATGCAGATAAATTTCTACGCATATCTTAAAGGGTTTCCCCTGCTGCTCAGATGCTCCTGTGTGATGGATGGGGATGTAGATGATGCAGTGTCTGCAGTGATGGAGTTACTAGCAGTGATTAATAGTATATATACTGGGCTGTTTTTGATGCCCTTCTTGGTATTAAATGATATATTTTCTTTTCTTCCAACTACATTTTTTATCCTAAAGACTGACTCCTTCAGGGACTGTCATTTGACTGCATGCTCTTTATGCAGAAAATTCAACTCCTGGCCCTGGGAGAACTTGGGGTCCCCCCTGTGAGACTCAGTTGACTCATCTGTAAAAATGGGGATGACGATTTGTACCCCTCAGGTTAGCGTCTTGGGGAACATTTGCTGAGAAGTGGCCATAAAGTCATGTCTCACTATACTTGGCACATGGAAGGCACTTTGTCCGTGTGAGTGCGCTCGTTAAAGACAAGCAGTGAGGGGACCGCCTTCTTGCCTTTATCTCCTGGAGAAGAGAGAGAGCATTGCACTTGATGGGAGGTCAGCGTGAAGTGGGGTTACTGGGTATGGGAGGTGCTAAGCCTGAATCCCCTTAACTAAGCCCACATAAACTGCCAGATACCCTGAAGCAGGAATTGATTCTGGCCATATCCCAGACATTGTCATTAGGGTCATGAGGTATTGGAATGACAGATGGACTATAGCCGTGATGAAAGAAACAGCCACAAAAACATTTTAAAGCAGCACCCAGCTGCATTGGCTTCCCTTGCGGTGATATCATTCCCTTTTTGTCTTTCCAGGCTATGACCCAACTAGAACTTTTTGGGGACATGTCCACCCCTCCTGATATAACCTCTCCCCCCGTAAGTATGCACAGCCGCACAGCCCTATGACCCTTCCCTTTCCTTCCCTTTCTCTAGCGGCACGGTGACGAGAATATGGGCTTTGGGTAAAAGAGGGCCGCTGGTGGGTTTCAGCTCTGATTCTTCCTCACTGTGCGGTTTGGGAAAATCAGCAGTGCCAAACCTTAGTTTCCTCTGCTGCTTTTTAAAGGAATTACGATACATGCTTCTTTTTTGAGAAGTCAGTGAAACCGTGCGTCAGCAATTACAGGATCCCCTGTGGGTACTTGCTGTTCTGCTAGGTGGTGGAGAAAGACAGCCGTGGCTGAGGTCCCTGCCTGCACGGAGCACTGGCTCTAGTTGGGAATACAGGCGAGAATCCCAGCAGAAATGCAGACACAGGGAGGCGTGGGTCAGCACCTACCCTGAGCCCACACGGCCGGGTGGTCAGCCCAGTAAAAGAAGCACCTTCTCCCCCTGGCCCTGTCTTCCTTTTCCTGTCTCTTCCTTTATCTGCTCTCCCTCTTCTTTCTGCAACCCCCCCCCCCGCCCCGCCTTCCACTTCCCACCTGCCTTCTAGCTTTGCTGAGCTTCTCATGAAACTTTGGATTCCCAGCTCTGGTTTCAGTCAGGGTGTGTATCCCATTGCTTGTCTCGCTGCTGACAAGTGGACGGAGATTGCAGGGAGCCCTAATATGAAAGCAAAAAGAAGGAACAAAGAATGAAAACCTAAGCATCCGGGTGCTTTGAGAGCCGGTTGCGTCCCAAGGCAACCCTGTGTCCATAGCAAAGAACAGAGCAGAGCTGGCCCCTCCAGAACCTCTCCCGCCAGCTCCCCAGTGAGCAGTTGGCCGCAGCTGCACCAGAGGAAGCCACGGGAAGGGGCGGCTCCTCTGGGTGCTGCGGGGTTGTGCAGACGGAGGGATGGTACTATGGTTCATTGGCGAGATGCGCCTCAGAGAAGAGGCTGTACCCTCACGACTGAGGACAGATGGCACAAGACTCTGCTGCCCACAGCTGCCGCCTGGGACTCTAGACGCAGCTGCGTTGCTCCCGACACCTGATGTCCAAAGCAACTGTGACAGTCCCCACAGCAGCTCCTGTCTCCAGGGAGGCAGTCTCCTTCTCTCCTCCGTCCCAGGGGCAACAGCGTCTTGGGCACTTAGAGACTCAAGCTGCGGAACTAGAAAGGTCTGAAGAGATCTTCTGACCTCCCTTCATTTTACAGATGAGCAAACTGAGTCCCAGAGAGGACATGTGACTCCCCCAGGGTCACATAGGGGAAAGAGCAGGGAGTGGATTGTGTTCAGAAGTGCTTAACACAGCAGCTCAAGGCTTTGTTTCTGGCCCTGAACCCAAGTGCATTCCAAATGGGTATTTAAAAACCCTCAGAACAATGCCCTTCCTCCCCACCAGGCTGCTGGTCTAAAAATGGCCTTGTCTGATTGGTGTGGTTTCAGGATTAATTGCTTGCCCCAGTCTATTCCAAGGGGAAAAGAAAAATAAGGATAACATGGCCTAGAATAGACATACTTTGTAGGCAAAAGGCTGCCGTAAATGGGCATGGTCTTTAAAAACCTGAGGGCTGATACTTTTCTTTCAGCAACCTTCAGTACCCCTTTTATTTATTTGGTTTATTTTAGCACACCTCACCGTACCCAGCAGCTCATGCACCAGGCCTCTCGGATGCCTGGCTTATGCTGGGCACTTGCGTGTTTGCAGCTCCTTACGCACTGTTTTTGTTGTTGTTGTTGTTTGTTTGTTTGTTTGTTTGCTTTTTTTTATCATCTTCTTGAAAATGTTTACTTCTCTTTGCATGTGAAGACTCAGGCAGAATTCTGGAAAGGCACCAGGATACAAGGGTCTCTACTTGAGTTACTAAGCTTGATTGTTCATTTGAAGCTGTTTATTTACCATGTATTAAGTGACAAGCCCCAAACGTGGCGCGCACAGTAGGTCCTGAGTGGGTGTGTGTCATTTTAAATTAGCCACCCCTAAAGGATGAAAGCCAGATGTTATGGAATCATTTGATGGCCTGAAAATACCCCCAAGGGGCAGGGCTCAAACTAAAGGGCCGTGGTATTGACCACTGTTGGCTGACCACCTGCTATTGCTGCTTCAGCATGGAACTGGGTGATTTAAATGCATGATCTCACTGAATTATCACAGCTGCTCTAAAGGTAGGAATCATTTTTCCTGTTCTGTGGTTGGTATGTACAACCATCTCATGGTCTGCACTCCACATATGTGGCTTGGACCGTGGCTTCCTTTTGCCCCATCCTCTGCCCTTTACTTCCTGTACCTGCTGCTTCCCATCCTTGATGGCCGCTGCACCAGGGCTCCCGGGAGGCTCATGCACCCTCTGCCTCTCTCTGTCTGACAGACTCCTGCAACTCCAGGTGATGCCTTTATCCCGTCTTCATCTCAGACACTCCCGGCGAGTGCAGACATGTTTAGTTCTGTACCTTTCGGCACTGCTGCTGTACCCTCAGGTAAGCTGTCTTCTGCCTGCTTCCTTTCCTTCGGCCTCCGCTCACCAAAAAAGAGAAGGGGTTGACATGAACCAGCTGCCAGATCATGTGAGAACACCTGTGGAGCCGCCAGTCTCTCGAGGTGACACTGAGAGGCTGCTGGTGGGGGCGAGGGAGTGTCCACAAATCTGTAGTGTGCCGTAGACAAATTCAGTGATGCCTTTCACCTGGAAAGGTCAAGATTCTAGGTTATTCAAGTATACGGCATTAGGGAGCCCGGTGCACACAGAGCCATGCAAATCAGTACAAGTTCATTTCCTCCTATCCATCTCAGCCAGAAGGAGGAAAGTGGAGGGGTATGAGCTCTGCACACACCTCTTGAGATCTGATTGATAGCAGGTGTCTGCCTCCATTGGTAGAGATTCCAGAACCAGGAGGTTCTCCATGCATACGGGACACTGAGGGGACAGGGCAAACTGCCAACAGTGAATTGGGATGATGGGGCTCTTAGTGATTTCGAAAGTATTTGTCTTGTTTTCCAAACATTCTTTAAAATGTATATACCTCTTTTACAACAGCGTAAAATATATACACATATACACATATGTATAATAACTGAATATACATATGTACTAGTATCTATGTATACTATATATAGTATATATATATATACATATATACATATATTAGCTACACACATATATATATATATATATATATATATAGTAACAGTATTGCAGGTAAGGTACAAACTGGTGGGATTGCAGACATCTTAACTTGTTTCCATGGCAACAGGCATTCCATGTAGCCAGGCCACTATACTTGAATGTGGCCAGAGGTGGTATTCTGCTCTGTACATACATGAGAGCTTTAAAGACTTGTTTCTTTCTTTAGCTACATATTTGACATCTGGGTGGCTTCATCTTTCCATTTCATTATTAGATATGGCAAATAGAGCCTGAATATTTTCAAATACAAATCTTCTTGCGGTTTTTCTATAAATAATTTTAATTATATAGTGTTAGAAGTTAATTCTTGCCACCGAACATGAACCTTGCTGCTACTCAAAGTGAAGTAAAAATTCGTTCTCTTCTGTGAAATAGTTACAGTTATTCCCCATGAGCCCAGAAACCATTGTGAGAACTTTTCAGAGGCAGCAGAGATTGTTAGCCATTCTAACTTAAAATTTAGAGTCTGCAAGTAACCCAAAAATTTATTGAATTGATAAGCTTCCCAATCAAATCTTTTTGACTCATCTCTAAAATGGGACCATGGTGATGACTAGTTTTCCTTCCCTCAGATATTAAAATTTCCTTGGGAATAGTGTAATAGAGTATGTCATTTTAAATAAGAATAGCAGTTTTCCGTGAGAAATATATCACCTCCCTGTGTTGAGAATACCCATGTTTTGTCCTCACTGTTTGATCCATGGAGATGTGCTGGGACAGGTAATGGATACTTGAGGCCCTAAACTGACAGACGTGTTCATTCCACAAACATTCACTGAGTGCCCGCCTGCCCAGGCCCAGGCCTAGGTGCCTGGGATGTGTCGGTGAACACAGCAGACACAGGTCCTGCCCACAGAGAGCTTCCTTTCTATTGTGGAAACAGGCGACAACGTAAAAATAAGTAACTTATGTAATATATTCGAAAATGCTAAGTGGTAGAGGCAGAAGAAAATAGTGAGTGACGTGTGGAAGCTTTGGTGCATGTGGAGAGCCGGTGTGAATGGAGGTTGTGGTCAGACGGGGCTCATGCAGAGGTGAGGCATGAGCAGACTAGAAGGGATGAGGGAGGAGGCCAAGCAGGTGTCAGGGTGAAGAGGACTCTAGGCAAGGAGTCTTCATTCCCGTCTCTGTGAGAGTGGGGCAGGATGCAGTCACACGCCTTCTGCCCTTATGTTTCAATAAAGGCACCTGAGGACCTTCCTGGGCCGTGCACAGGACTGCTTTGGGCCTTCTCCAGAGACTGTGTCAGATTAGGGCTTTGAAGACCTGGGTTTTGAACTTGCTAATTGAACAGCCATGTTGCAAACTATGGACAAGCCACTTCACATCCAGATTCAGTTTCTACAGCTGCTAAAATATAATATAGTATTATAATATAATATAATATAGTATTATAATATAATATAATATATAATATAATATAATAATGTACAATTGATAGAGTACATCCCAATTTTCATTTTTTAGATTGTAAGAGCAAAATTGATTTCAGTGAGCACACTTCTCGAAGTGCCTGCTTCTACTTCAGATATGCTGGGGAACAAAATTAGACTTCAGTTGGTGGTCACCTGTCAGCCTTTTCCTTCTTTAACTGGCCCTAAAAATCTCTGCAGACATGGGGTCTCCATCTGCCTGTCCCTCACTGTCCCACCGGTGATCATGAACCATGGTGTGCAGGACAGCAGACGGGCTGCTGGAGGGCTTTGCATCTGATGGGCTACGTTTGAATCTTGGCTCATCTATGTATGTATATGTTAGACTCCTGAGCAGATTACTGAACATGTCAGAGTCAGAGTTTCTTCATCTTTATACCTAAATGAAAATAATACTTACCCTGCAACAGTATCATGAGAATTAAGTGAGAAAATAAAGTTGAGCACCTTGAAACTTGCTGACATCCCGTAGATGCTTCATATGGAAAATGCAGCTGTTTTTGCTATTATTATTATTACTACTACCACTACTACTACTACTATTACTACTACTACTACTACTACTACTACTACTACTACTACTACTCTTCCTACCCATATTTTTTCATTTACCTTTTTGGAATATTTAGAAAACCATCCATGTAATAAAGCTTAGGTCTTTGGCCTCCTCATGTGCGTGGCATGGGGGCTCAGAGGATGTACTGTGTATGTATACAGACCCTGCCACTAGCCAGCTGGGTAATACTCAGCTAAATCTCTTCTGAGCCTCAGGGAGCTTATCTGAACAATGGGGATGGTAGTTCCATCTTACACAGCCGGTCTGATGACTGCGCGAGTTAAGACATGTAGTAGAACATTTAAAACAGTGCCTGGCAGCGTTGACGGAAGTCAGCAGTCAGCAGGTGCTGGCCAGCCTGTCCATTAGGAGGCCTGGCTCTGTACCCGTGCTCTGTGACAGCTGCCTCGAGCCCTGCCCTCAGCACACTGCAGTCTCGTGTCCAGGGTAAGCAGGTACCAACAACGACTGTACCAGAGGCTTGTTGCTAGGATCAGCGAGCTCTGTGAGGGCAAGGATTCTTTTTTACCTGTTCTGTTCTTCACTCATCTCCAGAGACCGAAACAGTGCTGAGCTTCCAGTAGGGCTGTTTTTGAATGAATGAATGAATGAACGAACAGGATAATCTATTACCATACAAGTTCTGATTAAATGTTGATGGAGTCCCTCCATTTCCAGAATTTTTCCCTGCTTTTATTTTAGCCTGTTTTTTTTTTTTTTTTTTTTTTTACCCAAATAATAAGGTATCCCCAGGTGCAAGCATCTGGTTGTAAATTGCAATTTTCAACCCTTCTTAAAAATCTAACTGCAAGGCAGTAATGCAGGTGTTTCCTTTCACTTCACAGTAAGGAGATTTATGATTGATCTGAACTCCGTGGCATAAACAGATGCTCCTTGGCACCTCCTCCCTCCACTGTCGAACATTAATGAGTAAATGTTCCTAAGCAGTTAAGTGGCCGCAGTGGCAGCACCAAGTGGTTTCCCATGTCCAGTGCTACCGCAGTCCAGCTACCGAGGTGTGCCGTCGGGCACGCACAGTGCCATGTGGCCCGAGAGCCTTAGCTCACGGGTTTGGGGAGAGCCCAGGCTGCAGAGACCCCTCCAGGAAAAAAGAGTGAGACCTGCGAGCTCCCAAACATGATACCCAATTACTCTGTGCTGCCTTTTTTTTCTTTTGAATATTGTACTTTGGTCTGAAGCAGATGGCATGAAGCCAGGGAGACATGCTAATAGCTCTCTCCACAAAAGTGTGCACAGACCATCTGTTGGTTCCTTGGAAAAAAAAAAAGACAGAGGGAAAGAAAAACCTGCTACCAACAGTAAAATCAGCAGAGATCACCGTACTTACAGATCTGGGAGTTTAATTGTATACTTGGAAAAATGCAGGGGAGACATTTAGTCCACTGTAACTCAATCACCTTTATAAAGAGACTTTCTCCAGTCTGCAGCACTTATGGGGCCACTGATGTGTACCCAAAACTGTGGGAGACAGAGAGGAGACGGAGAGAGAAAATAAAGGGTTCCTGCTAGCAGGTGGTTTCTTGTCTAATGAGGGAAGACAGAATAACTGGGCAATCACAACACTGCGTGACAAGTGCTGTAACAGAAATGAACAGTGGGGACTGTGGAAGCGCAGAGAAGAACCAGCTGAATCCCGAGGGCAGGGAAAGCACCCAGCACAGGTGATACTGAACTGATTCTCACAGACCACCTGAGGAGCAATCATGTGAAGGACGCGGTGGCTTTCTGGTCGGAAGGTGGCTTTCTGGTCGGAAGCACCAGCAGAGATGAGAAGGAGCAGATGAAGTTCTGCTTGCAGCTGCTGTGGGGAAAGGTACCAGTGAAAATGCGATGGAGAGGTGGGAAGGGGACTGGCCCCTAAAGGCTTCTAAGCCAAGCTAAGGCATCTGAACCTTAGACTCAAGAAAACAACGCACAGTATTTGCATTTTAGAGCAGTCCGCCAGTGGCAATGAGGGGGGCAGAGTGGAGGCAAAGTAAAAGTAGCCTTACTGGAGGCTGAAAACTTCCATCGCTTCATAGAAATGGGCATCAAGCAGCACCCATTGGGTGGATCAGTTGGTTAAGCGTCTGACTTTGGCTTAGCTCATGGTCTCGCAGTTTGTGAGTTTGAGCCCCACATTAGGCTCTCTGCTGTTAGTACAGAGCCCACTTGAGATCCTCTCTCCACTCTTTCTCTCTCTCCCTCTCTCTCTCTCAAAAATAAATAAACATTTAAAAATAAATGGGCATCAAGATTGAGGTAGTTGAAAGATCCATGTCTCTACCCTGTCAGACCCCACACCCCCTTTTTATGACAAATATTTGTAATGTCACCTTTAAATTCTTGAAATTCGTAGACAATATAACTTATCTACGTATTTTTTTCAAAACCCAATATAATGGCTGCATTATAATAGGAGGAACTTTTTAGAAGCTGACTTATAATTAAAGGATACATATTTGAATACGCAGAATGCGCTAGTGCAGGCACACTAAACATCCTACTAAGTGGTCTGGTGTGCATACCCAGAAAGAGAGTCGCTGCAGGTGCAGACAGACACTTGACTGTGGTGTTGGCCCAAACACCATGAGAAGGACCTCTGTCCTTCTGTCGGGACCACAGCTTTCCCAAATGGTGAGCAACTCTTAACAGTGTTTCAAACAAAACAGAATACAGGCTACCCTTAGAGTACCCAGTTGTTATGTTCCTGGGAAACTAAGTATGTTACAACTCTGCAGAGAAACTTTGAATTTGTGTGGAATTCAAAGTCCAGTCCATACTCAATCATAAGACACCGTGTGGAGTAACTACTGCAATGTTGGTCTCAGATGTTATAGGATATCTGGTATCTGTGCTCGCCGCCGCTTACATGCTGGTAGTGTCTCCCTCTCACAGGTTATCCTGACAACCAAACCCACCCCACAGATCTCTCGGTGGTCTCCTAAGGGGATGGCAGCACCCCCACTGAGAAGCACTGGGCCCCGCCGAATAAATCAGAAAATAAGAAACACAGTCGCAGAATTCTTAGTCTGTGGGTGGGCTCAGGTCACTGACTTATTATATGATAGGAGAGGTGAAAATCAACATAAGCAACTGTCAGGTTTGGAATGTCCACTCCAGTGCGTCTTCACCCATCTAAGTTCAGTGCACTAAGGCTCAAGTGATCTCATAAGGATATTGTCTGTTTTGCTTCTTGATGCCCCATAAGTGCATTTCACACTGCTGGATGAGTCAGCAAGAGGCCCATGTGTCCTGTCTCAGACTCTCTGGAACCTCCTCTCACCTTGCAAGGGAATAGCTAGATTTTCAATGTTGTCCCCATTCCTTATCCATCCGTTGAAGGGCAGGGGATCTGAGGCTGGAGCATGAGTGCGGCACTCTGCACACGACTTCTCTGGGCTCCCCAGAGTCACTGACATCACCCATGACCCAACCAGCACCACAGCACCTGCCTGCCTTCCCTTGGAAGCTTCAGGACACCCTGTACCCACTCCTTCCCTGGCCTCACTGCTGTACACCTGCAGACTCCCCCTGACAGCCACGAAAAGGCTGGTTTTGACAAGCCAGACCAAGTCAGCTTCTCCATCCTCTACTCCACCTGGCCTGGGCATCTGTCTCCAAGGCTCAGCTGCACAGGCATATGGCCCCTGGGTCCCCTGAGAAGGGCAGGGACCACTGGAAGCACGTGGGAGTTTCTCTGGGCCCGCCCACACTTTGCTGAAACACCGGGTGTGCTGCCTGTGCAAAGATCAGAAATTGGTCTGGGCCATCTGGGTGGGGCAGCGTGGTGCAGAGGGAAGAACACTAGCTTTGAGGATGGATGACCTCAGTTCAGATCCCGATCCCACTTGATGCTGGCTGTGTGACCCCAAGAGTAGTACTTTCTCTCTCTGAGCACCAATTTCCTTTTCCCTAAAATAGATTCCTCCCTGCAGGGATTTTGTGAAGATGTAGAGCATCTAATGCTGTGGAAATGATTTGTGTTACTATTGTTAATGTAAAAAGTGTCACTTGTGCTCCTTTTAAAATGGTTATATCTCACCTGAAAGGAATTAATACAGTCAACAATTCTCATGGTAGCCTATGTGAGTAGGCCCCCTGGAGTTTTGCAGTACCCAACATATGCTGCTGTATGGGGTGCTCCCCAGTAGACAGTCACCTAAAATTGGCATTAATAGTAATAATACAGAAATAATGTGTAATAATACCTGTAGCTACCATTTATTGCATGGCTGCTATATATCAAGAAAGGTTTTAAGTACTTTAAAGGCTTTATCTGATTCCGATCCTACTAATTGCTAACATTTACCGAAAGCTCACTCTGTGTCCGGTGTAGTACTCCACCTCAAATACATCCCCTCCATTTATCTGTAAGCCAAGCCTGTGTGACAGAAGGTATCTCATGCCCTTTTTTCAGATGCAGAGACAGAGCCCTAGAGAGCTTGTGAGCTCTCCCTAAATTGCAGAGGTGAGAAGTGGCAGTCTGAGGTTCAACCTGTGCCTCACAAGCCCAGACAGGGTGGTTCTTCTCCCTTGCTACAGGCCTTTGATGCTTCGAAGGAAGATCTTACTACCTGGCTTTCCAACAAGGAACCTGACTTTTTAGCTTAGAGAACAGGAGCGATTGAGAATGCCCCAAGGCTAGTAAGAAGGGGAGGCAAGATTCAAACCCAGATGCGCCTGATTTCCAGTCCTCTGCTGATAACACCGGCTGTTGAGGCTCTGGTGTCAGAAACCTTTAACAATGATGACAGTATTATCATTATCCTCCAGATGTGCCTGGCTTGTTCCCTCACTGCATTCTGGTGTCCACTGAGGAATCACCTCCTCGAAGAGGTTTCCCCTGACCATTGCTCTAGAAGGAATGCTCTCTGAGAGCAGGGACTTCTGTCTAACTCATCTTTGTGTCCCCAGTACCTAGCACATAGTCTGATACTTAGTAGTTGCTCAGTCATCTTTGCACTTATCCTTTGAATCCACGAATTGCTCCTTCCCAGGGTGCCTGACTATTCCTGTTCGTCCTTCCAGGTTATGTTGCAATGGGCGCCGTCCTCCCATCCTTCTGGGGACAGCAGCCCCTCGTCCAACAGCAGATCGCCATGGGTGCCCAGCCGCCAGTCGCTCAGGTGATGCCGGGGGCTCAGCCCATCGCATGGGGCCAGCCGGGTCTCTTCCCCGCCACTCAGCAGCCCTGGCCAGCTGTGGCCGGGCAGTTTCCGCCAGCCGCCTTCATGCCCACACAAACTGTTATGCCTTTGCCAGCCGCCATGTTCCAAGGTCCCCTCACCCCACTTGCGACTGTCCCAACCACGGGTGACTCCACCAGGTCAAGTCCACAGACCGAGAAGCCCAGGCAGAAAATGGGGAAAGAAATGTTTAAAGATTTCCAGATGGCCCAGCCTCCACCCGTGCCCTCCCGCAAGCCCGACCAACCCTCCCTCACCTGTACCTCAGAGGCCTTCTCCAGTTACTTCAACAAAGTCGGGGTGGCACAGGATACAGATGACTGTGATGACTTTGACATCTCCCAGTTGAATTTGACCCCTGTGACTTCTACCACGCCATCAACCAACTCACGTGAGTGCCCTTCTTTGGAGACATAAATCCAATAAGAATGATGCCTTGTTTCTGGAGTCAGAGAACTCCTCTCGGTTCCCATGCAGCAGGCTTCTTTGTTTATATTACTACTAATAATAATAGCTACCAATTACGAGGTACCAATTATAATAGACATACCTACTTTGTATACATTGATTACTTTTATACTCATAACAGTGCTTACTGCAGGTTTTATTAGACCTCCTTGGACAATAATGAAAGTGAAGTTCAAAGACGGGAGAGTAGGCAGAAGGGTAGCATTGAACCCAAACCTGTCACCTTTCCACCATGTAACTCGGCTGCTCAAGTTTTTTTCTTTATTCACTCACATCCATTCATTCATGATCCCTGTTTATGCCACACAGATTCCTGAAATGAAAATGCAGGGTGAATGTGAACTGCAAAAGTTTGGGGAACAAGGACAAAAATTTAGAATAGAAAATTAAGATCAAGAGAAAACTTACAGGCGAGAAAGAGCAGCTATAAGGTCTTATTCAACTCGTACAGTAGAAGCCAGATTTTGGCTTAAGGCTCTGGGTGTGGAAAGAGAAAAAATGGTAGTGTAGCAGAAAGCTCTACACTGGGAACCAACAGGCAGATTGATCATTTTGTAGTTTTGTGCCTGTCGGCCAGTCATTTTATGTTTGTGAGCCTCAATTTCCTCATCTCTCTTAGGCTAAGGGATAGTAAAAGGATTCAGTGCTGCAGAAACTGAAACATTGTATACCTCACAGAGTTTAAAGTCTTTTTATCACTGTTCTTGTTGAATATTGAGTGGTTTTGTGCAGAATCCTGACCAGGATTCCAACCTTGGCTCTTCTACCACAAGCTTTTTCTTTGGGCAAATGGATGACTTTTCTTCCTCACCTCAGCTGTATCATGGGTAATATATGTGAGCTGGCTTGGATGAGCCACGTGCCTCCTAGTTCAGGCATTCAGTGATTCTGTCCCAGCTCGCTTTTCTACTGCAGGCATCTGGAAAACCATGACCATGCGGCCATTCAGAACCCAGACACACTTGAGCATGGATATGCTTGGTCGACACCATTCAGAAAGGTGTCTGGCAATTCAGCCTGTGCCTTGACAGTTGATAAGGGAAAGGAAAAGGCTCATGGAACAATGAGTTTGGCGTTTTCATTACTGTCACAGATGATATGGATCACTGCTTGGCCAATATCGTGAATTGTCAAAAAAAAATCCAATGTTAACACAATTAGATAATGTCATTTCAGCCAGGTTCCGAAGGCTGTTCTGAAGAGGACTGCCTTCTGTGTGTATAAACAACACACTTCCACCCAGGCTGTATGATCTACTTAGTAGGGGCATCGCTGTTAACTCTAACTCATAGGGTTTCAACGAAGAATAATGAATAAAAAATGAAATGGTCAAAGAATAAGAGCGATATACAAATAAGCAAGTATCTCTTGACAGCAAGCACTGTCTGTCACTGGGCTTGGGAGCCAGCAACAAATAAAAGGGAAGTTGTAGTTCTTTGAGAACAGGGAATGTGTCCTAATCATCGTACACTTCTCATAATGCTCTCATACCATCTAGCACCTGGGAGATGTTTGGGAAAAGTCAGAGAGATTGAAATGAACAAAAGCCAAAGGCCACTCATTCACTATTGTGTTTTAGAGCAAGGGTCTGCAACCTTGGCTCTCTTGGTATTTGGGGACAGGTAATTCCTTGTTGGAGGGTCTGTGCTGTGCTCGAAGGACAGCTAGCAACCTCCCTGCACTCTACCCATTGGATTCCAGAAGCACCCATCTTCTCCCCCTAGTCGTGACAGTCAAAAATGGCCTGACATCTTGCCAAATATCCCCAGAATTTAAATTGCCCCAAATTTAGAGCCACTCTTGTAGATCATAGAGGTATTCTATAAAACCTTCTGAAGGAAAGACACAGCAATAAATGCCTAATTATGCTTTCAATTAATTTCATCTGGTAAGGGGGAGCAGTCTACCTCTCAGCCAGCCACTCAGCCTGGGTTCCCAGCCTTTAGTAAGCAATAAGCCGCTTTCAACACAATTCAGAATTCAGTTACACTAACATTTATTAAACAGCTATCACACATGAGGGTGCTTCTAGATTGCTTATCTCACTTAAACCCACTAGAACTAGTTTGCTCCATAATCGTCTCACAAAAGAGATTTCCTTTTAAATTAAAAAAGAAAAAGAATAATGTCTTATTTCAAAGAAAAGAGTGAAACCAATCTTTATATCCTCTTATCCAGAAGCATCACCTTCAGAATGTTTTGAGTCGAGGATCATTCGAACCCAAAGTAAACCTCAACTAGAGATAGAGCACACAGTCTAACTTCAGCTCAGGTCATAATCTAGCAGTTTGTGAGTTCAAGCCCCACGTCAGGCTCTGTGCTGACAGCTCAGAGCCTGGAGCCTGCTTCAGATTCTGTGTCTCCCTCTCTCTCTGCCCCACCCCCACTCATGCTCTGTCTCTCTCTCTCTCTCAAAAATAAACAAACGTTAAAAAAAGAAAAGAAAAAAGAAATAGAGCACACAATTGACCGGACAGTGTAGAACGACCTATGTTTAATCCCAGCGCTCCTATTTCATGGCTCTGTTAGCCCTGAAAAAGTCACTTCACCTCTCTGAGCTGCAGTTTCTTCATCAGAAAAGAACATTAGATACAACAGCAGTTTGCAGCATTCACATGAGAGAACCCCATGAATACAAAATGCCCAGCACAGTGCCCAGCTTGCTGGCACAGCATAAATAGCGTGATTATCCTAAATATAGATCCATCAAGGCAAAAGGTACTCACCAAGTTTTAGAATCGCTCACTATCTGATAAGCAGCCAGATTTTGCAAATTCTGGGCAGTTCTGGCAGGGAGGCCTCATCAGTGGCACTTAGAATTTAGCTACTAAATCAAGCCATACCACCTCCTCACTTGAGGCGGAGCCAGTGACCGGTGTTTTCAATGCCAAATTAGAAATCATTGAAGGAAGAACAGCTTCAAATGGCATTTTTGCTGTAACCTATGGAACAAGTGAGATGAGGAAAATATGGGAAGGCCAGGACAGAAGATGCAGGTCCTTACGCAGAATGAGAAATAAAGTGCCACTTGTCAACTTGCCACCAGCCGCATCCATTTTCCCACATCATTGAGGCTCTCTTCATTCAACACGTGTTCATCAAATACGTGCTGCATGCAAGGGTCTACCATTCAACAACTAAGTAGCTTCCATTCACCAACTATGTGGCCTTGAGCAATTTAGCAACTTTGCTTCCCTTATCTGTAAAATCGGGGTAACTCCGACCTCAAAGAGGCTTTGAGAGGGTTGGAGATACTGTCTGTGAAGCTTCTGACAGCATCTGACACATAGAGGGTACTCAATACATGCACATCACCATCCTCTGGTCTATTTATTCTTATTGAAATAATGCATGATGTTAAGAAAGAAGAAAGAAAAATGTGTTCAGTGGTTCTCAACTGGAGTGTGAAGAAGTGCAGTCTCTGAGCCAGTAGGTCCAGGGTGGGGGCCCAAGAATGTGCATTTCTGGCAAGTTCCCAGATGTGTTAGTGCGGCTGAGCCAAGGACCATTCCTTGAGACCCACTCCCCGACCCCCCCGTATGCATCTGCTCCTTCCTGATCCCAGGTGTGTGAGAGGGACAAGATAAATACATACAGAGGGGACCTTCAGTTGTCCAGCTGACCTGACTTAGGATAGAAAGCAGAGTGCTGGATTTGACCTGAATATAACCAGATCCCTGAGGTCCCTGTGGGATGTAAATGGCTGCAGACAGACACTTAATGATGTTCCCTTTCTGTGCACCGTCTCTGTGTAGCTCCAACCCCAGCCCCTAGACAGAGCTCTCCATCCAAATCATCTGCATCCCATGCCAGCGATCCTGCCACAGATGACATCTTCGAAGAGGGCTTTGAAAGTCCCAGCAAAAGCGAAGAGCAAGAAGCTGTAAGTAACCAACTTGTTCTTTCTTGTTTCTTGTTTTGTTGTTCCTTGAGACTAAGACCTCTGTATCTGAAAGGGACAGTGGGCGAGGAGCCCTGCATAGACTCTCAAGTTCTAGGCGGGGTGCTAGAGGGGCTTTCTTTCATGTTCGAATGAATGAGCAGCTGAAAAGCGTGTTCCTTTCACGAAGTCCTTCCCACGAGGCTCGGTTTGTGGGTATGGCACCCTCTGACTTGCAATTGCTACCTCCTTGAAAATAACTGATTGTGTGCATGAAAATTTGCCCAGCTGTCTAATGCTTTCAGTTGTTGAAAAGGAAAAAAAAAAAGTGTTATCTTCTTGTGTTCTAGCCTGATGGATCACAGGCCTCATCCAACAGTGATCCATTTGGGGAGCCCAGTGGGGAGCCCAGTGGTGATAATATAAGTCCACAGGCCGGTAGCTAGATAGCACAGGTCTGGGTAGGTATCTGTTCTTTTTATCTCCTTCACCCTTAAGCTATCTGCTTTCCCTCTTGCTTGTTCTTCCTTTCTGAAGTCACATCCCCGATGTTTGCCCCATCTCTCTCCTTGCCTGACTGTATTCCTGATGCTTGCACCATTTCCCCTTGCCTGAGCGCATTCCTGCTGCCTGCACCATCTCTCCTTGCCTGGTATCTATTTGCCATCTTGTTTCTCCTCATGGATGCATGACCTTTGACGTATACTGCTAGGTAAGGGTGAGGAGTGGGGATTGGTCCCATTCTTTTATTAATGATATGTTCTGAGTGGATGGTGGTGATAGAAGGAGGCATGGTCAATGTTACTTAACGTGGATTCAGTTTCTGAAAGCATCACCATTCCGAGATGGACACGTCTTGCCCGCTCTGGTAATTTCTCACTGCGGTGGGATCCAAAGGCTTTCATCTTTGAAGCAAAGTGTCCCTGCATCTGCTTGTACTCCACAGACCCAAAGAGGTCACCAACCAAACACCCAGTGAAGCCAGGCTACGAAGCAAGAACAAGCCGTGCTTGGAATGGGATTGATAGAGATGTAAGCTCACGGTAGCCCATTTAGTGTAGCCAGAGGGGACCCCCTCACCCTCACTAATGTAAAGGTAAAATTCAAAGCCCAAAGACATGTAGCCTTCGCTTGAGGCGCTGCTGTTTGCACCTGTTCTACAGCATACGGTTTGCCACCGAACCACTTCAGATTCTATCAGCAGCTACTTTGAGAGAAGTGTACTTACATTTACCAGAAGTAGCTTCTGGCACTTGAATTTCAATACATCTGATTTGATCCAAAGAAAGAGCTGCTGATGAAGCAAACCTTCGCAGGAGACAGAAGTACACCTCGTTACCCAGGCATGGTTTCTAAGGTCACTCCTTGAATAATGTGTTCAATTTTCAGATACTTTCCTAGTTTTCCTTAAACATGTAGGACTGCAAGGCTGTACCCACAAAGCTCCTGTTTTTAGTCCTGAACAGCATGGTAAAACCATTAAAATGGTAAATTGTTTTCACCATTCATAACTGGATGCTGAGGCTCGAAGTCCTTCTTAGGTCACATGTAAGTTATTTTGACAGTTATTGAAAGCTAATGCAGTGTTTGGAAGGTGCGTTTTGTTAATAGATTTTATGATTAAAGAACTGAACATACTGTATATTTTGCCACATTTCCTATCAGTACAGTGGCATATAATAACACATATGCCATGCAAAATACCCATCTAAGAATCCAGTCTTGCAGACCTCTTTGGGAAGCTGGTGAGTTTCAGGCAAAGTCAATGTTCCAGGAAGGAGGAGAGCTGAGGATTATGGGTGGATGCCTTGGAAAGATTCCCCAAGAGATTTTCTACCCCCTTGTGTATGTTCTATTTCATGTGCTCAACCTTGTCTTGAAAAATCTGATGAATGAACCAGAGGTGACAAGAGCCATTCATCAGTATAACATCTAACATCATCCTAAAATTGAAGTTCTTCTAGAAAACAAAGATGACTTACACCATTTGCAGATCAATGTATCAAACCCTCATCTTTATGAGCCTGCTCAGCTTGAGACAATCAAACAAGCTGAACTGTGGCTTGGGGGCTTTCGTCTATCCCACATTTGATGCTCTATTCAGAACCCCAAGCCATGGCTGAGCTGTAAATGGACGGAGCATGGGATAGCAGGAAGAGCTCAGAATTTGGAACTTGAATTCAAATTCTAGCCCAGGCTACTTAATAGCAGCAAATCTTGGGCAAGAACCATGATTTCTTTTGAGTGTTAGTTTCTTCATCTGCTAGAAGGGGCTTGTATTATTGAGTAGGTTAACTGAGACAGTATTTCAGTCTTTAAGATTGAGACAGACACCCAGCACTCAGCTCAAACTCAGCTTAAAACTCTGGGCCCTGGAGCAAGATTGAGTTTAGAATCTGGCTGTACCTACGTGACCCTAATGAAATTTCATAGTAAGTCTCTATCTTATTTTTTTTAATCAGGGTAAAAATATTGTTTTCCTTAAAGGGTGGTTTTGTGAATGAAGTGAGGTGATCTATGTGGAGCTCATAGCACAGTGTCTGACACCTAAAAAACAACCCGTGGATGTTAGCTCTCACCACAGTCATCTTCATATGTGCTCAGTAAATGTTCCCCAGTACCTTAGTTTTTATACATTTTGCCCTCATATAGAATAAATTTTACCATAAAGACCCAGGCCATTGACTGGGAAGCTTTACTATGTGCTTCCTCTCTTCAGATAATTAATTTTCAGTATGCCTCAAAACAGTTTTTTGGGGGAAAAAAACAGAAACGGGAAAATGCAATTTCCTAGCTCTTTGGCTTGCCCACTCTCATAATCAGAATGATGCCAGATAGGGGCTCACAAGCCACCTCTCATTTCCAAAAAATGTGCAGTCTTAGATTCACACATAAATTATAATAAATAGCTCCCAACCCCAAAAGGGCTGGAACTGTAATCTTCAATAAAACAGTTTTCTCCTTTGAACACTTGGCTTGGCATTATCACAGTTGCGTTGAGAATCCCAAACCAAGAGGCTGATGCCAGGCTCACAGACATATCCCCCAAGGTGCCCACAGGAGAAGTCCATGTGTGCCTTTCTGGGCCCCTCCATCAATAGCAGCACGAGCCGTGTTTGATCTTTCTGCCCATTGCATCCACTCATCCACCCAACTAGAAATCTCCGGACTGCAATCTCTTAGTGCCTTTCCAGACATCTGGACAACGGACACTATGAAGAGAAAGTTACATCATGGCTCTCTTTTCCCCTCTGTCTTTGTACAGTTGGAAAGCAGGGATCTTGTCCTTCTTATCCCCCTTGCATTTTATCTCCAGCTGCTTTTGATTAGAAATACTCCCACAGTTGTTGGTAGTTGGTGGTAACATCTATTAATAAGTGAAAGCCATATCACACAATCACACCACAGCAAGAGGGAACAAACGACTCAGTCTTTGCAGGTGGAAGCCTCAGTACCAATCTCAAACAGCATTTCTGTTTTAGCAATAAAGGGAAATATCTTCAATTATTTCATTTTTCCCCTTACCCTCCCATCTGGGAGAATCACGTGTCTTTGAAAGACTGGGTCAACAGGGGCAAAAAAAAAACAAAAAAAAAAATAAAGGAAAGAAAGAACCCAAATAATATTGTAATGGCCGGTGTGGGAATGGGACATAATTTATACTTCACGGGTATGTTGCTGGAGCAATTTTAAGGGCGAAATGTTAGCTTTTGAGGAGATGAAGGAAAAATGAAAACATTTATTTGGTTAAATGGCTAAGTAAATAAACTGCCTATCAGACTTTCCCAGCTGTCAAGGCAAAGTAGCATCTGTAACAACAGGGAATTGTTTGGTCTGTCTCCCTTAGTAACAATAGATATCGTCATAAATAATAAGTCGTTGTCACGTTTTTAATACCGATCTTCGTAGTGGGAATCCAAGACATATAAGATATTACCTGATGGATTTCTAGTGTTCAAGGGAAAAGAAAGCTGAACCTCAGATGCTTTTGATGGAAGAAGCTTTAAAAAAAAAAAATAAAAACAAAATCTTTGTAAAAAGAAAGGAAGAAGTGCATAGAGTCAGGGACTTAGGTCTGGATTCTGGTTTCAAAGCAGGTGACCTTAGGCAAACACATAACCCCTTTGTACTCTGGTCCCTCACATGGATAAATATGGATAATTAGTTTCAACAACTCCTTCCCTAGGCTCCCCCAGAGTCAGTAATCATGACCATGAAAGTGCTTTGTCACCTTGTAAGTAAAATACATGTATCTGGAATTATTGTTATTATTCTATTTTTAAATCCAATGAAACAACAGAGCCTTAAACCAAAGAACCATATAAAACATAAAATAATCTGCCCGTCTCTTGGACATAACACTCAGAGGCAAGTCCAACCCCAAGGTATTGGAGTCATGCAGTCAGGAGATGGGAGGGGCCCTGCTGAGGGCCATGTTGGCCAGGGTGGAGAGGTGGGTTGGGTGCCCAGAAATATGTAAAAGACGAAATCAGGAGACCACTAAGACTGAAGAGAAACGGGAGTTGAAGACAAAGACATAACCAAGGACAGTCCCAACGTTCCTGATTTGGGAAGCTAGGTGGTGCCAGTCACTGCATTATGGAACACAGCATACTTGAGCAGAGAGAGGGTGGGCTTTAGAACTTGAGTTGAACTTGCGATGCCCATGAGACAGCCAAGGAGAGATGCGGGAGGCTGCTGGATTCAAGAATCTGGAGATCAAAAGAGGAATCCAGACTACACAGCAAGATTTCAATATAGGTCCCAGCCATTAGAGTACTGGGCACAGGTAGACTATGTTGATCATTTGGACCAGAGGTCAGCAAACTCTTTATAAACATTTACGCTTTGTGGGCCAGTTCTCTGTCACAGCGAATCTACTCTACTCTTAGAGAAAGAAAGCAACAAGAGATAGTGCATGAAGGAATGAATGTGACTGAGTTCCAATAATACTTTATTTAAAATACTTTGTTAAATTATTAGAAGCAGGCAGCCGCCAAAATTGGCCAATGGACTATGGTTTGCTGACCTCTGTTTTAGATCCCACTCACTGTTTCCAGAATCCCTCTGCAGAAGGTAATCACCATGCCTTTCTCTTATTACTAATAATACAATATATTTTAAAATTACTAGCATGTTTATAACCCTTTTATAAACATCACCTAATTCAATCCTCAGGGAAGCCCTCATAAGTATTTTTATTATTCCCATTTCACAGATACGACAGGTAACGTAGACAGGTTAATGGCTTGCTGAAATCACAAGACTCACACATAATGAGACTAGGATTTGAACCTACACCCAGGTTAAATAACTGGAGAGCTCTCAACCACACCAGGACCACATGGGTTTTAGCAGCTTCTCTTTGACTTAACAGCTGCATGCCTTGAGGCAGATGGCTTCATTTCTGACCTTTGGTCTTCTCTTCTGTAAAACAATTTCCATATCCTTCCAGCTGACA